CTTTTGGTTTATGAAATCCTAAAAAAAAAAAGAATATGACAATTCTTGTTTATAAAAGATATAAAATAATAAATAAAGATATAGAACTTTTTTTAGGTAAAATATGATTATTAATAAAAAAAAAAATAAAAAAAAAAAAAAACAAGGATTTTATGAATTTATTCTATTAAAAATTATTTCTATATAACACAATGTGGTTTTATTTTTTAAAAATAATAATAATAACAACAAACAATATTTAATTATATGAAAAAAGACTAAATTTTTTTATTATTTATTTTTTAATTTTTTTTTTTTTATTTTTTTTGAAAAAATATTTTTTTTAAAATTTTTTTAAAATAATTTTTTTTTGGGTTTTTTTCAAATAAAATATGTTTAGGGGATAATATACTCTATACACACATATGTGTCATTTTATATTAATTAATTATTTCACTTTTGTTTATTAAACAACCATGATCAATCACAAAATATTAAATACAATGAAATAATATATTTTTTTATTTTTTTATTTTTTTATTTTTTTATTTTTTATTTTTTTATTATGTTACCCCCAAACCCTATTAGTTAATCACTAATTTGAGATGGTTAATTAAATGGGGGTGGGTGATTTTATACCAAATATTTCCATTTTTTTTCATTTTTAAAAAAAATATTTTTTATATTTTTTTATTTTTTTTAAATTTTTTTTAATTTTTAATTTCATTTCACTTTTTTTTTTTTTTTTTTTAAATTGCACACAATCAATGGAATCATCATTAACCAAAAATATAAGCGAAATTAAATTATTTAAAGATTATCATATTTTAGATTCATATATAGGAAAGCAATTATATTATTTATATCACTCATGTTCATCCTCTTCTGAAAATTTAAAATTATTAAAAGATTCAATTGAATCATTTTCGAGCAAAGATAACGAAAACGAATTGATATTAACCTTTTCAATATTAAATTCATTCCAATCATTTTTAGTAAACAAATTACAAATAGACCAAGAATTAAGGGATAATAATGATAATGAAGTAATATTGGTGGGTAATCATAATTTACATTCACCATCTTTAACACACGTTACTAATTTTTAAAATTTAATTTTAGAATATAGATATAGGTTTCTTTTATATTTACAAATGGTTAATTAATGGATTGTTTAGTAATAAAATCAAATCTATAGATTATTACAATAACCAATACAAGACAAAAGAAATTACGGATTTAAAAGAATTAATTTCAAATATTTTATACAAATTGATTAAATTATTGGAAATACCAAACTTTTTAAAAACAATTGAAGAGCAAAGTAGGTATTGTGAAAAAATATACTATAGATATTGGTTATTAATTGTATCATTATTTAATTTATAGAGCATTTTAATAAGGAGGAATATAATTCATCAATAAAAAAATCAAATGTATATAAATCAAAGATTCAAATACTATTCGAAATTATAGAAAGCTTTTTAAAGAATGAAATTGATAGAAATAATATATTAAATATAGAATATAAAACTACAATAATAAAACAATTGTTTTTTAGATTGTTAGAGTTTAAATTAGTGCCACAGGATAAAAGCGATATACCAACCCCATCAAGCACAGGAGAGATTGAAAGCACAGACATAGTATTAAAACATTGGACCAATTTAGAAATTTCAAAAACAGTTGATGAAACTTTATTGTACTTCAAAAACTATATAAACAGAAAACACAGCTTTATAAACAGTTTAATGGAATTTTATCAATGGTCAAAATCAGATATAGAGGTTCATTTTAAATTACTATCATCCAATGAAAATGAAAATAGATGGAAATTCGACACACCCTATATACATTCATTTTATATATTTATTACATCACTTTCACCATCTTCCTTTAATAATAATAATAACAATAATAATAATAATAATAATGATGAATCACAATTATATGAATTATTTTATAAATCATCAAATCAATTTCATAAATTTATAATAACGATAGTTTATAATTTACTAGATTGTACCAATCAAGATATAAAATATAAATCAATAGATATATTAATATTCTTTATTAATAATTTAAACAATAATCAAATAAAATCACTTTTAACTATAGATCAGCAACATTCAAACCAACAACAAATACAGAGAAATATAATATATAGTAAATTGTTTGATACATTAAAACTACTAGATCCATCAAATACCAGCACAGTCAGAATTTCAAAATGCACCAAATTGGTTTTTGATCTTTTATATATATTATTCCCAGTCAATTCAAATAACCAACTTATCAATCCGTTTATAACACCGGCCTTCCCCTCCAATAATAGTAATTTTATTGAAACATTACAACAAACTCAAAAACAAACCCAATTCCAATCCTCTCAGGATCAGGAAATCAATAACTTTTCAAGTTATCAAGAGATCATAGTTCTATTGGTTTCTATATTGGATGACATACAGCAGCAACAACAGCCATTTCAACTAGTAAAGAAAATAATTTTCCTGGGTGAATTCAAAAGAATGTTTAGAGTATTGGGTCTTTACACTATTCAGTACTTTAAAATTTTAATTCCAGTAATTTTAAAATCAATTGACGAATCATCATTGAAAACAGATCAAGAGTTAATTTTATCCCTACTGTCTTTTTTAAATGAAGTTTCAAAATACTGTTGGATCCGTTTGGTATCATACACTGCAAATATAATTAAATCAATAATGCCATTGTACGATGAAAGCGACCATAATGGCGACACTACCGGTACATCAGAACCACACTACAACAACTCCATAATACCAATAATAGAAAAACTATACTTGGCACATAGCAATTTAAATAGATTATCAGAGTTTTATAAAATTATAAATCAAGATGAAACAAACCAAGAAAAACTAAATCAAATAATAAATAAATTTAAATAAAATCTTTTAATAATGATATCATTTTTCAAAATACAATTGATTAGTATTATAGTATTTATTATGGGGAATCAAATCTCAACCACCATAGAAAAATTTGATCGTTGTGGTCAACTTTAGAAAAAAAAAAAAGTAAAAATAATAAAAATAACAAATTAAGAAGGTTTTTTTTTTTTTTTTTTTTTAGTTAAATGATTGATTCTTTTTATCAAAAGAAAATGGTATTTGCTTTTTTTATTATTTTCTTTAATTATTTTAATTTTTTTCTATTTTTTTTTTTTATAGTTTTTTTTTATTTTTTTTATTTCTATTTATAATTTTTTTTTTTAACTATGATTTTTAAAAGAGGGTGTTTTGAATATGTACAAAGTATCATAGATTAAATAAAATTTTATATGTCGAAATAATAAATTAAAAAAAAAATTAAAAATTAGGAATAAAAAAAAAAGACAATTACGGCCATGCATATATATAAACCCCTCTTTATCTCCACCACGCAGTACCTCTGCCTCTTGGTTGGCTGGCGCCATAGCCAAAGCCGCCATCTCCACCATTAAAGTTGGATCCTCTTTCATTAACTAATTCTATATACAAAAAATAAATAAAAAAATAAAATTTAATAATTCGTTATTAATAATAAAATATAAACTATTTTCATTAATAATAATTATAAAATATTTTATAAAAAAATAAATTTTGGTTAAAAAAGATATTTTGCAATGGTTCAATTATATCCAATATCATGATATTGATTATAAAAAAAAATCTTTTTTTTTTTTTTTAAACCTTGCACTTTTTTGGATATAATTGTCATCATTGTGTAAAAAGACAGGATTGTGCGGGTGTGTGAATTTGTGATATAAATAAAAATATATAAAAAAATTTTAAAACATTCAAATAAAAACAATAAAAAAAGAATAAAACAAATTATATATATATAAATATTACCAATTATTTTATTCATTTTATACAATTTTATTATTCAAAAAAAAAAAAAAAAAAATTTAGATGAGGAAAATTATAATTATTTTGAGAAAAAATATAATAAAAAAAAAAAAAATTTAATCAATAATTTTGTTATTATAAAAAACCACTTTTTAAATTGATTTTTTTCAGATATTTTTAAATAAAAAAAAATTAAATTTTTTTAAAAAAAAAATATTTTTTTATTTTAAAAAATAAGAAAAAAATGGTTTTTTATAAAGCTTTGAAAAGATTACACAATGTTATTCAGGATTTTTTGATTAGTTTTAATTGTATTCTCAATACGATATTGAAAACAATATATGATTCGATTCAGAATTAATTGGTAATAAATAATATCTTTATATTGTTAAACAAAAATTGATGTTTTTATTGAACAGTGTTTTCCATAAATTTGGCCTATATTCTTTAAAAAACAATGAAGAAATAATCCCAAATCTGGTTTGATAACTCTGGTGGCTACCTCATTTATTTCTTTTCAACAGGTTCTTCTAATACCATCAATTTGATGGGTGTTGATAATTCTTTGATGAAATTGCTATTATTTTTAATATTTGTGATTGTTATGTTGTGAGGAATAATTAACAAATGATTAAATATTTGTGTTTTCTAAACAGTACAAATATTTGTAAATTCTAATTTATTAATTTATAAATAAATAATCATCACAAAAATTTGTCATGTTTTTTTTTTTCAGTGATATTATTATATATTTATAGAAATGTAATATTAATTAATATAATTGTTTAATAATTGATAATTTTTTTGTTATTATATATACCCATCATATTATTAAACAAATAGGATGATTTAAAGTGATGGTTATTTTATAATTTTATTGAATAAAAATAAATAAAAAAATTAAAATAAATAAAAATTAAATTATAAAAAAAAAATAAAAAGAAAGTTCTCAACATGACTTTAAAGTTTTTTATATAAATAAATAAATAAATAAATAAATAAATAAATAAATAAATAATCAAATAATCAAATAAATAAATAAATAAATAAATAAATTTAATTTTTTTTTAACAAATTTTTATTTTTTTTTTATTTTCATATTACTATTGACCATATATAATAAAAAAAATTTTTGTTTAAATTGAACAGTTCGCATCATCATTTTTTTTTGTATTATTCAGATTGCAATGGCTTACAAAATTGGTATTTTTGATTTTTATATAATTAAAAAAAATAAAAATTTATTATTTCATTTCCCAAACATATCAGCCACTTTTATAATAATAATAAAAAAGTGTGTGGTGGGGTTATAATTTAATTTTTTTTAATTTATTTTTTTAATTTTTTTAATTAAATATTTTTTTATTTGGGTGATGTGTTTAAAAAATAAACAGATGATCACTACTTTTATGATAGCTACAGATTAAAAATTTAATAGAATGTACAAAAAAGGGAATACCGAGTTTGAATCCAATCTATTATATTTACAAAAGGAAATTATTATACTTTTAATTATTATTAATTAAATTTTTTTTTTTATTTTTTAAAAATTTAAAGCTCAAATTAAATTAAAATTTTTTTTCGAAATTTTTTTTTTTTTAAAATTCAAGCAATCAATCAAACTTCATTGTTAATTTGTCAAGCTTAATTTTCAGCATTTTTTTCGTTTTATTTTACAGAATCATATTACTATATTTATATATATATATTTATTTATTTATTTTTTTTTTGTAAATATTTTTATTCATATATTTATTTATTTTACCCTTTTAATTTGTTAGAACAATTATTAATAAAATGGGTAATATTTTTTCAAAAGTAAGTATCTCTATAACATACATTATAAAAAAAAATATTAATTATTCCTTTATTTATATTCAGAGAAAGCTTTTTGAAAACAAAGTATTGGCTATGGAATCCAATATTGCTCTATTGGAGACCAAAATTATTAGCTCAAGAACATTCCATTATAATGTATATAAGAAAATTTCCATCTTTTTTGTTATAATGGAATTTATTTTAGCATGTATCCTTTATGATACAATTCTTTCATCCAGCAGTTTGTCTGAAAAGTCAAAATGCTTTGCATTTATTTTATTTTTTTCAATGATGTAAGTTCATTTTTAATATATATTTATTCAAAAATGAAACCGACATACAAAAAAAATTTTAGAGCAATATGAAAGTTTTAAAAGTAGGTATCATTATTTATATATTATATCTGTAGTAATGTAGTGTCTAACTATTTTTTTTTAGATGTTCACAATAGAGGCCAACATCAACAACCACCACCACCACAACCAACCCAACAAAAACAACCAACCCAACAACCAACCAAACATCCCACACAACCAACCCAAAACCAATCCC